GGGGGGGGGTTGCTGCTTTTGCATCCTGGCACACACGGGATGTGCGGACATTTATTTATTTTTTATTTTATTATATATATATTTTTTTGTGCATGTGGACATTTTATTCCAACTTGTTCTATGATCACTTGGGGTCATGTCTGTCCCCCACCAGTCTGCGACACCCCCCCCCATTATAGTTAAATCTTAGAGAATGTGGGTCTGGAGTTGCTGGAGACAACCTCAGGATCTTAGATGAAGTCCCTGTGCAGAAAAGCAGAACCAAGAGACAAAGAGATTCCTAATGACGTAGGTTCAGCACCTGGATGCAGCCTTAAAGGGAATCACCTGGCACAATATAGTAGCCCAAAAAGTGACGGGCAAAGGCATGAAAAGACTGTGACCTGGCATCACACCTGCTTAGCTTGTGAGAATTCAACTGTGCCCACTGACAACAACAAAAAATCTTTATTCCTTCCTTTCAAATCAAGCTTCGGCCTCGGGGAAGCTACTAAAGAAATGTAAAGAGAAACCAGAATTAATATTTTGCCTTTCCTAAGGATCCATGTCCTTTCAATTCAAGGGATTCTCAAGGTTAATTTTAATGTCTTTTCTCCTAAAAATGCAGCCCCACTGTGCACTAGCATGCAAGCTCCACACGGGTGGGATTATTGTCTGTTAGGTTCATTGATACATCCCCAGTGCCTACATCTGTGCCTGGCACATTGTAGGCACTCAACACATATTTTTGAGTCATGAAATAAATGTATGAAGTAATGAATGAGAGTAACCATCCATTCACAAGTACTTTCTCTGAACCATGAGACAGTGGATCCTTCAAGCACAGAGCTGTGGCTCATGAGAGCTTCACAGAGGGGACTGATCCATCCATACTTGATATTGGCCTGCTTTTATTTAATAGCTGTAGACCATGTCCTATAGGCCAGGCCCCCACACTGGGCATAGGGCTACAGAAATTAAACAGACAGTTCCCGCCCTCTAGGAGCTTCACACCAGGGAAGACAGTCTCAGTTGGGCTGTCAGGACACAACCTGACAAACTGCTCAGAAGAAGGTGCTGTCTGCAGAGGACTGGTGCACAAGGAAAGTGCAGCCCAGGGCCACAGGAGTGGGGAAGACTTCACATAGGGGCAGCCCTGCACAACCTGGCTAGAAAGATCAGTGGGAGTTTGCCAGGGGAGCAACAGTGGGGAGGACACTCCAGGTGGAGGAAACTGCATGCGCACAGGTACAGAGGTGTGTTGTGGAACCTCCGAGCAGTTCATTGCTGCTAAAGCATCAAGTGGGATAATAGCGCTGAGGAAAGGGCTCAGAGCAAGGACCACACCAGGCAGGGCCTTGAATGCTGAGAAAAGGAGTTTAGTCTTGTCTAACGGGCCTAAGCTTCTATAATTGGGTGGAGGGGGTCTGTGCCCCCAGGAATGTGATATGGCATGCCAATAGGCATGCAAAGCGACAGTAGAAATATGGCATCTCTTGCTAGGCATCTACTTAAGCAAGTGAATAATTCAATAATTTAAAACAATATTTTTACATATCAATAGAGATATGATGAAGTAGAAGGAAAATTAACGTGAAATTTAAAGATAAACGATGAAGTTCAAAGACATGTCCTGCCATGGTGGTCTCTATGACTGACAACTCTAAGTACCCCACAAGCAAAGAGGTCGGCGGGGAGATGCTGAGTCCTGATCAGACGCAGGGCTATGCAGTGCCCATGGGTCAGCCATGGCAGAGGCTGGCTCCCCCACATCTGGGGTTCCATGAGTTCTCACCTGGAAGATGCGAGAGTCCCCAGATGGGGGGCTTCCAGGGGGTGAGTAGACAGGCTCCAGCCGAGTAAACTCTTCTGCAAAGTTGCTCACATCCAGCTCTGAGCGGATCTGGGGTCGGAATGGAGCTGGAACCTTTCTGGCAGCCAGAGCAGCCCAATCCATACCCTGGAAAAAAGAAATGAGAGAATGGGAATCAAAGGGCAGGAAGTGGAAGCCCCTCTCCGCTCAGGCCGTCCTTGCTGGGCAGCTCCTCAGTGAGGTAAGGGTCTATCTTGCACTTGGGGGAAGGGGTTCTTCTTGCCTCCCCAGCTTCTATGTCCCTGGCTCTGATAGCCCAATCCCTATTTCCCTTGGAGACTCACCCTCCACCACACTTAGTCAATTCTAGGGCTTTTAATCGAATTGGTATGCAAAACAAACAAATATCTTTCTTCTATTACACTTAAATCTTAGAGAATGTGGGTCTGGAGTTGCTGGGGACAACCTCTAATGATGAAGTCCCTGTGCAGAAAAGCAGAGCCAAGAGACAAAGAGATTCCTAATGATGTAGGTTCAGCACCTGGATGCAGCCTTGCCTGAATTCAGCACACTTTTCCTTCAACTTTTCTCTTATGGAAGCTAAAACATGCCCTTTTATGTTTAAGCTAGTGTGGCAGCGCCTGTTCACTGCCTGCCCAACATTCGTTTTCCTTGTCTTCCTTAGTTCCATAGCCCCAATTTTATTCCAGGAAGCAATGTGCAAACTAAAACAATATTTTACAAACTTCCTTATAGTTAGGGGTGACCAATAACTTGCAAGCAAATATTGGGAGGCAGGAATCAAAGAAAAGATCTTCAAGAGGAAGATGAACAGTTGACAAGTGTCCTTTTGGCCCTTCCCCTCCTTCTTTCCTGCTTCCTGCCTGGATATCAGCCTAGATGGCAAGTGCTCCAGCAATCATCTTGGACCATGAAGCAAACCTGGGGATGGAGGCTACATGCTAAAAATGAAGGAGCATTTAAGAAAAAAAAAAGGTGCTTGGATTCATGAAGACACCACAGCAGTCCTGGCCTGCCAAACTCTAGATTTCTTTTACATAAGAATAAATAAACAAATGCATCTCATTTAGACCACTGTTCATTCCAATATCTGTAAACAGCCAAACTCTATTCCATGGATATCACCATTTTTTAGTTAGAGTTTTTGTCACTTGAGGCCAAGAAGCCTGACCTAGACTTGAAGGCCCCAGTTCTGCCACCAGGGACCTCAGTTCAGTATTGCCATCACCAAAGAGGCTGTCTTGAGAGAAGGGGCAATGAGGGGAACACCACTTCTGAGCATCAAACATCAAAGGCCTTGGAGCCTCTCTGGTGTGATTACTGGTCAACCCACTCCCAGCACCCAGGGCCTGGCTTGTACTCAGGGCGGGTTGAGGAATTCATTTAAGGAAACTGACACTGCTTAGCCACTTCCTCTACAAAGTAACACCTTGGCCGCAGACTTACATTCCTGTCTGAGAAAACATCTCCGAGGGCCCTTCTAGGCAGGTACTGTACTTGCAGGGAAGACTCCAGGAGATGACACTTGTATCAGGGTAACTGAGTGCCTGGCCCGCAATAGATGCCCATAAATGAGTGCTTTTGTTACAATGTCAGACAAGTGGCAAATCTGATGCCCACATGTAAACAGAACATAGCAGTGAAGAGCATGGGCCTTCAAGTCAGAGGTCTGAATCTGGGCTCCACCACTTCCAGGCTGGGTGATCTTGGGCAAAGTACTTAACCTCTCTGGACCTCAGTTTCCTCATCTGTAAAGATGAGGATAATGAGGGTGGTTCTGAGGGTCACGTGAAAAAATACAAGCAAAGGGCCGACATACGGCAGGTGTTCACTGTTACAGGATCCTGCTAGGGAATGACACTGGCCATGCACAGCACCCGAGCCAGAGAGGTCTCTCAAGGAGACAAAATTCACTCTGCCCTGCACTCCAACCTGCCAATGCTCTCAGCAAGTAAGCAAAACCCACATGGCTACCTGACCGTCCATCTGAATTACAGGCACACGGACTGTACAGGGACAAAGAACAAAACGCCTCGGTGGATGCTAAGAACCTAAAGTGTGGCTTTTACTACTAATTTTGGCTGGCAGGAGACCTGGGTCTGTGTCCAGCTCTACACATTTACTGTATGATCCTGGTGGGGGAGGAGGGTCACCTCCCTTCTCTGAACTGTCCAATGGAAGGATTAATGAATCTCAAGTCCCTGGCAGTCCTGACAGTCGATGAACCTAGAATTCTTTCCCCCAGGAACACATCTTCCACGTTTCACTAGAGATGGATGAGAACATATGCCTGCTTCCCAGATCTGGGGATTTTTCTAAATCAAGTGAAGTTGGCCAGTCTCAGACCATCCCTCCAGTGTCCCCGAGCCCAGAGCAGCAGCCCAGCTCCAGTATGTGCAGAGAGGCATGGAGGCAGCTCAGGAGCCTCACCTGGAAGAAGCGGTGGTTCTTAACTTCCTGTGCCCCCTGGGGCCCCGCACCCAGCCGCTTCTTGGGGTCCTTGCAAAGTAGCCGCTGCAGCAGGTCCTGCGCCACAGGCCCGATCCGAGGGGGGAAGGGAGGGGAGCACTTCAGGATCCGTCTGGGAGGATTTGGGGGGCGTCAGGGGCAGCGAGTCCCCCCACACTACTGCCCAACCACCTCAGCTGCCCTCCACATCCAGCCCCACTCACCGGGACACCTCCGCCTGAGTGTTCCTCTCGCCCTCCAACGTGAAGGGTGAGGCGCCTGTCAGCAGCTCAAAGATCAGGATGCCCAGGCTCCACCAGTCCACAGCCTGCCGGGGCCAAGCCAAGGTGAGGGATGTAGCCACCCTGGCCTCACCCCACCACCACCACCCAATCCCCTGCCAACCCACCTTGCCATGCCCCGACTTGCTGCGGATGATTTCGGGGGCCATGTACTCGATAGTGCCACAGAAGGAGAAGGTTCGCTCTTTCTGGGAGGGCAAGAGGACCCATTTTGGACACCCAGCAGCTCCCAAGGCTCAGAGTAGGACTCAGAGTAGGACTCGCTGGACCCTTGTGAGGGTTGGAGCAGTGGGAATTTCCTGAACACAGGGTCTGGGGCTATTGACCTCTGCATCCCAAGAAACGCAGAGCCAGACACGGAGCAGGAGGAGGCAGGAAGAGGACAGCTTGTGGGGGTGCAGCGTGCCGAGACTGTCTTCACTCACCTCCTCTGTCAGGAACTCCTTGCTAAGCCCGAAGTCTGTGAGGACAATGTGGCCCTCAGAGTCCAGCAGCACGTTCTCCAGCTTCAGGTCTCGATAGATGATGCCCAGCTGGCAGACGCAAGAGGGGCAATGAGGACTCCTCCCCGGACACCACCAGGAGAAAGGGATCTCCAGTGCAGGCATGGGTCCGGGGTGGGACTGAGCCATTGGATAGGAAAGGCCATTGAAGAGGCAAAAGCAAGGAAGGGGGACTCGATGGGGGACTCCTGGGGGAGCAAGCCCCAAGGTCCCAGAGGCAGGAAAAGTTGTGTGAAGAGCCCCATTTCTAAAAGGCTTTGGAAGCCAAGGCATGAGGTCTCAGTTTGAGGAAGTCCTGTGAACATGACCCCAGGAGGCAACCCCAAGTTCCTTGTGAGAGGAAAGCCCCTTGGGGGAGGCACCAGGTGAGAGAACTCCACCAGGCAGTGCTGAGGCCTTCATTCCAGGAGGCCTGGGGAAGCAGCTCTGGGCCCCACTATCTCCCAGGAAGCCCAGGGAGAGAGCCCTGAGGCCGTCGTGTTTGGAGGCCCTTTAGAGGGCCCAGACCCAGTGCCCGTGGCAACAGGCGTGTGGCCAGGTCCTCACCCACCTTGTGCAGGTGTTCAAGAGCCAGCACGATCTCGCCCCCATACACTCGCACCTCAGCCTCCTTGAAGTGCTGGCGCTGGTAGAGGTGGGTGAACATCTCGCCGCCATTCACATAGTCTGGGGGGTACGGTGGAGTTTGGGAAGCAGCCCCCACAAGTGGCCCCAACTGCTTCCTGGCCTCCAAGGTTGGTGGGTGCTTGCCCTTACCCAGGATGAGGTGCAGCTTGGCATCGGTCTGGAAGGCGTAGTGCAGTGTGACTAGGAAGGGTGCCTGGCGCACCAGCTCCAGCACCGTGCGCTCAGTGCGTGTGTGCTCCCGCGTCTTGGCACGCTGCACCAGCGCTGCCTTGCGCAGCACCTTCATGGCATACAGCTTCCCTGAATCGTGCCCGCCCGCCTTCCGCACCAGGAACACCTTCCCGTAGGCTGTAGGAGCAGGGAGTGGGCAGAGGGTAGGCTGTGAGCAGAAGGGTGGTACAGACTGGTGGTTGTGGGAGTGATGCCAACCCAGGAGGGTATGCAAATTGGAGGGAGGAGCTGGGGTGAGAGGAAGGGAAAGGTGTGCACAGCACCAGGAGGGTGCTTAGCAAAACCAGGGATGGGGTGTGCAAACCAGCTGGGGGTCATGCAACTCTAGGAGGCCTGCAGAGCAAGGTGGGGGCGGGGCATGCGCAAACCCGTGGAAGATCGGACAGATTTGAGGGAATGCAAATCCAAGGAAGGAGGCAGAGGTGCATGCGGCCAGGGGAGGGATGTGCAAACCTGAGCTGGGAGTTTGCAAAGCGGAGAAGACGGCTCTCATGTCAGAGCAAGGAGAGGAGCTGTGCAGATCACTAGGGAGGGCTGCAGGCACCCAAGGTGTTGACAGATTTGGGAGGCCCTTGCAGGACAGAGCGGCCCTGAGAGTGGGCATGCAAACCCTGGCCAGGTGGGGTGGGGCAGGCAAGGAGGCTGTGCCAGGAAAGGGTGGGGGGCATAGCCGGTTGCCTGGCCCAGGCCCGGGCGGGTGTGCCGGCTGGAGGCCCAGGACACCGTGCCTGGGACACCCGCCGGGCGAGTGGGGGTCCTCACCTCCCGTGCCCAGCACCTTGAGCAGCTCGAAGTTCTCCACGCTCACCTTCTCCTCGTGCCCGGTCAGGTTGGCTGTGGGCGCGGGGCAGGGGGCGAAGGAGCCCAGTCAGTGCAGA